AGAGAGAGAGAGAGAGAGAGAGAGAGAGAGAGAGAGAGAGAGAGAGAGAGAGAGAGATGAAGCATGTAGAGTGCAATGTCGCGATGATATATGTACATTGGACGTCACAAATGCTTGTCCGTTATATTAGATGTATGCAGTGTAGGCACGGAAATCGTAATTTATGGGGTCGTAAATGTTTTGACACATGTGAATTTAATCACATCAGAGCATATTTCTAGCGCATGTCATATCTAAAAATTTGTAGAATTTGATTTATTTGGTAATAATTTAATATCATAATTATACATGTGTGTATATATATATATAAAAAATGTAATAATCGAGCACTTGACCCGAAACCGTGTCTCTTGATAATAATTAATTTATAACAAAATAATATGTATATCATTTTCTATTTTTCATTATATGGATTATTTAACAAAATTATTGTTAATTCTAAATACTTAATACTCATTTAAGACGCGATACACGACCGAAAATACTTCGATATGTAGGCGAATTTATGTTTAAGATCCTTATCCCGTATATATATTTCAGAATACACATATTTAAATATTAAGAAATGCTTTCGTCCCTTCGTGGAAGGCAATTACTCCATCAGGAAGTTTTAAGGATGTCGAATATAAGGAATAAGCAGGGGAACGTTCCACGAGATAAATTATCAAATGAAACGAAGGAGCTAGTATCGGATTTTTTCATAAAAAAGTTTCGAAGAACGTTCTATTACATTCTGAATAATTTCAATTTGGATCTCGAGCGATACCTTTTCGTCGTCGAGTACTGGTGAGGGTTTGTCTAATAACGGACGGGCGTTTATGACGGTGCTCGTGGGTGCTCAGTATACAGAGTTGAACGGGGAAAATAACGATAGCAGCGTCGTTCGCTGAGCGGTAGCAACGCGGGCAAGGGAAGACGCGTTATCGACCAGTCAAGAGAGGGCGAGCGCGAAAGCACCACCACGTCGTAGGGCACCACGTGATGCGGGAGCGGGAAATATACGAAGGGACGTGCCTCTGCGCAGCTCCCTGCTTCCCTTCTGCATCCTTCTCTCTCTCTCTCTCTCTCTCTCTCTCTCTCTCTCTCTCTCTTTCCCGGTAAAAGTATTATACTTGTGATAACGTAAGCGCGATCCATCGTGTTCGCTACAAGACCCTTCTCTCTCGCCTTACGCCTTTTCTATCTCACCCTCTCCATGCTCCCCTCCTTCCACCCTTTATGTGCGGCCGTAACCCGTAACGGAGCATCCCGTGCGCGATACGAGAAATCCCGACCGATCCTCCCTCGAGATATCGGAGACGAAGGGCTCCGAATGTTCCAGAAGAGGGTCGGCCAACTTAATGCAGTTTCGGGGGTAGATTGGAAGGTTTAGACTCCGTACGGAGCGCGCGCGCGGATTCTCCTTTCGCTTGAATTATGATACAATCGACGGTTATGATGAGCAGCTGCATCAGCGAATTTTATTGACGAAGAAACTGAAGATGTAGCCTCAGACATTTATGTTTCATTTTGAAAAATACGCATTTTTGTTCTATTAAATACCTAATGTTAGAACAAAAACGCACATACGCACATTGATATAAAAAGATAAAATTATAATATATTCTATTTTTTGCGATAAACTGGAAAAAAGTGAAATATTCCCGCAAGAAAAGTGACATAAATAAAAAATATAAGATTGTCCAAGAGAGAAGAAAGAAAATTGCGTTTTTTAAATAAAATATTTTTTATGGCAATATTAAGTATTTAAGTTACTGTAACTTAGATCTAATTACGAATTGTTTGTTTTAAGTTCTCTATAAATAAATATTAATTTTGGTATTATTATATGTTATGTTTCCTCTAAAAATTATTCGTATTTTTATTTGTTATTTTTCTTTGAAAGAAGTATTTTTTAATTCAACTTGTATCACTTTCCTCTGATTGAAATCCTATATATATATTTAGAACACAATTCACACATAATACGAATTCGAAAAATTCCGACTTACGTCACTTTTCTTGCGGGAATGTGGTGCAAATCAATAAGAGATTTTTTTATAACTATAAAAGGCATTAATATCGAAAATAACATGGGAATAAAAGCAAGTAACTTTGAAAACATTAATCGAGGCATCCATAAGCTAAATACTTCCGGATAACTTTGATCTTCGCTTTAATCTGACTCCGATTAATTTAATTAACTCATCAAATAATATTTGTTATTTTAACGTGGATAGAGTCACTAATTTTTTATCGTTTAACGAAATGAGAAAAATGAACAGTTAATTAATCATAATACGCGAACATTTAAATTGGAAACATGCTCTGAATATTCTGATGCACTCGAATTCATGCATTAAGCAAGTTTCGATTAATTTAATTAAAGATTAATTCAACCGATAGAATTGCGTAAAACAAATTTAATATAATCCATTATTTCTAGTTATAATCTTTCTATTCTATTTATGTATTACATAAATATAAAAAATGGATTATTTATCCACATTTATAAAATAGATAAATATAAATATAGATAAGTTAATCAGTATTTGATCGAAATCGCCATTGTCACGTATTTATTTTTATTATCATAGATTAATTTTAATGTATTTTTTATATTCTTTTAAATTTATTATAAAAAAATTAATTAAACCGAAATTAATCCACATTGATAGAAATGGATGGTAATGCAAAAATTGTTGAAAAAAAACTGTTAAAAACTGAAAACTTTCTCACTTTCGATTTTCTTCCTTTAAAAAATTAATTGGTTAGCACAGATAACGAATTAATGTTGCGCAGCATAAAAAATTCGAAATCATGATTTTTACTGCAAATGTAAAATAACTTTTGAAAAAAACATGTAATATACGCTACCACGGAATTACGAACGATATATTATATTATCGTAAAATATTATCGTTGTAAATATAACAATGAAAGAAAGATAATGGAAAATCTGTTATTTAGCAAATTACTGAGAGAAATGATACATACAATACGATAAACCGATATATTTTCGTTAGTAATTGTCTTCCATGCAGTTTTATTCCATTTACTCTTATTCCATTACTCTTATTACTCCTCGAGTAATATCATCCATACGGTAATATCTTGCATCGTTAATGCAATTCCGACTGCAGCTGTTCGCGATTATTGCAGACTGTCTCTGGAGAAATATGCTTTTAGCGCATCTTGTTTATTGGTGTTATTGAATGAGACCATTATTTCCTTCCTTCCTGCAGCATGGTAATTATACTTAGATACACACACATTGGTTGTATTAAATAATATCAGATATTATGTGCGATATGTATATATTTCAATCGCGCGAAATGAAAAAGAAATGTTATAATTAAACAAGTCTCATTGAACGTAAAAGCGCACATATCGTTTAAAAGAGAAACGAAATTTTCGAATATTTTATCGCAATTTCAGTTTGTCTTACAGTTTTAATTTATATGATAAGGACTATTATGTAATCAAACCTTCCGAGAAGGTTTCAATTTTGTAATTAATGTTTTATCGCTGCTATCCTACTGTTATTCGTAATATATTAATCTTTTTCAGACCAGATTGACTCGAAGATATCGGATAAAGGCGGGCGTACCGACGTTGATTTTATTGGAAGCGTCCAATGGGTCCATTGTGACAAGAGGAGGAGTTGAGCGAACTATCGCCGATCCTATCGGTGCGGAATTCCCTTGGAGACCTCCACATCCGAAAGCTGCTCTTGAGGATGGACCTCTTCTATCGTGCGGCGCACGTGATAGTAATGAGCCTATGTTGCACGAGGAGCTTCGCCATTGTTTCAAGGGGATTTACTTCAGTGCACATTGGGTGAGTTACGATACCCAAGTGAATGTTAGAAATGTTTCATCACTTCCTGCGACAATTTTAGTTGAATACATATACAGGGTATTTTTGAAATAACGCTTACTAATCATGTAGTGCTATTCCTAATAAAAAACTGAATCGAAAAATTATCCTGTATCATTTTGCAATTTTCTCAATAGTTAACGAGATATTAATTTCTAAAGGTTGTCGAATAAACGGATAAATTCGATATATAAGACAATTTTAAAATATTTTTCAGTATTTTTTGTGAAACATTTTGATGTTTCTTAAAAAAAAATTTTTAAAGCTATCTTGAAAGTTGTCTTATATGTTGATTTTAGATATTATGCTTAATGGGTAACTAAAAAAAAATATTGTAAAAATTGCAAAATGATAGAGGACTTTTCGATTCAGTTTTTTATAAGAATAACACTATATGATTAGTGGGCGTTATTTCAGAAACACACACACACACACACACACACACACACACACACACACACACACACACACACACACCATCTAAGATTGTCGAGTGGTTTATCGCTCATGCCGGTTGACTCGTGATCTGTACATCCGATCCCACCTCCGCCTATATATTAGGTGGGAAAAAGTTCGTGGCGTTTTTTTAATGCCATCTAATGGGAAAAACGCCACGAATTTTTTCCCACACGTAATATGTAATTTTTCATTCTTCAAAAAGTTCTTAATAAAAAAATATTTGATTATAATATTTTGGAAAGTTCTCGAATTAAGCTACAAGAATATGGAGTGAAAAATAGGGTGTACATTTGGAAAAATCAATATGACCTTCATATATGACTTTCAAATGATTATTCAAGATTAAATCAATGACACCATCTTATATACACCTCGAAATCATATAACTTTTATGAAAAGTTCTTTTCTTAAATGCTCTCTTTCCGAGATAAAAGGGGTGTACGGGTGATCTCAGACATCCGGTATGTGTGTGTGTGTGTGTGTGTGTGTAC